TTAAGCTAGTAAAATAGATGACTATTTAAATCTAATCGGCTGTTCACAATAATAACCAATCAAATTTTAGATAGTCACGTTTCACCAGCTTAATTTATACGTATAAAGATCCCTCCTTACATTAGACCCCCCCGATAGTAGACCCCCATCCTTTACAAGACCCCGGGGGGGTCTAAATCACTTTTTAGATAGGTTTAAGGTAAGAGACCCCGGGTGGTCTATATGGCGAAATACGGTATATCATCTGCACTATGTTTGTAAAATCAACCGATAGGATACACAGCAGAATTTAATCATTTAGATCTTGTCAGACGGAATCAACGGGTTTATCACCGCAGAAAATCATCGGCCCTGATAATTTATATTACATTTCCATTTTTGGGTGCAAAATAAGGCTTTCAGTGCTATATCGATATAGTCTATATCGATATAGTATAAATAAATTTAGAGTGTACGATAATATTCATTTAATATAATAATCACTTAATATGGTAGGGAATAAAACCTATATTGGTTTAGTCTCCGATACTGCTAACTAGAAATATAGTCCACTAACCTAGAAAAGTACAATCTACTCCAATTTTAAATATGAATATTTCTATTTGTTACCGACAGTGACCGTACATTTTGCCAATGACATTACAAGATCAGGTGTAACTATATTAAATGGTTATTAGGTGTACACCATTAAACATTATTTATACGTACAATAGATATCGTACTGCAAATTTGTGTAAGCTTTTATTATTACATGCATAATTGCATTACAAAAAATTATAAAAACCATTATGTATTTTGTGCGCAGTTTCATAATTAACTTTTGACTGTAAACCAAATCGAAGAAAATATAATAGTTTCTCTGTATATACTTTGCTTATATCTTTTACTTAATGGCAATATAATTTTTCACTATGTCATATATCAAGTGTATGAAATTCACTCTCTGGACGTTCGCCTTTTTAAGTTTAACTCTTTATTTAATATACCCACATGAAACATATCATATTAAGGATATAGAGAATACGACGAATCACACTATAGGGAATACGAATTATACAGTTGTAGAAAATGTAGAAAATGTGAAGAAATACATGAAATACACGGAAGTGAAAAATTTAAATTTTGATCTAGTGTATGAAGAATATGTTAAGAAGCATAATAGAATAGTTTCCGAGTTATTAAGGCCATCTGCTAAACTTAATTCATCAGAACTTCCGAAACTTGTTGTTGTCGAACCAGTCATGACAAATGGATTCGGAAATCGTATACCTTCAATGGTTTGTGGTTTTATGTATTCATTGTTATCTGATAGGTTATTCTTTATAAGTGGATATGATAATTTCACAAATTATTTTGAAAAAGACTTTGAACATGACTGGAAAACTGTTGCTGACATGTATGAAAATAGTACATCTAGATATATACATGATGCTAATTCATATAATGATTTCGAGTTAGTGGCGAGAGGAAACCTTAGCAATGATGAAACTGATATTTTATATCTTAGAACATGGGATTACCCATGTGCTCCAATAATGTCAAATCCTCATTATAAGGAATGGTTTAACAAAACAATACCTGATTATAGAGTTTTCACGGCACTTAGTCTAAAATTAATAAGGTTGAAACAATATATTAATAAACAAGCAGATGCTTTTGCGGACAATAATTTTACCGATTATAATATAGGTATTCATTTAAGAGAAAGAAAGACAACGTGGGATATGATAACACCCCCAGAACATTTCTGTAATGTAGTGAAAATGTTGTTATTAGAAATGAAAAACATGAATATAACTGTCTTTGTGGCTGCTGATAATAATAATGGTCGTAACAAATTAGTAAATTTGCTTCGAGAAATGGATACTTATAATAACAATACTGTTAATATAGTTCATACTGATGATGATATGGATGCACTAAATCCTGTTAGTGGGAGCACTGGTAACACTGGTTCGGAAGTAGTTGCTCTTATAGATATGAAGGTGCTTAGTTTATGTGATGACTTGGTGATTACATATGGTTCATCATTCGGTTTTATCGCAGCAGGATGGTCGCAAAAAGCTTATCATCGAAGGGGTCCATTGGTCATAATGCCAATAACAAACTCGAGCGATGATTTTCAGGATGTAGATAAAGTTTGGGTGTACGGTGCTGTATCAAACGAGCCTTGTATGTTCCTAAGCAAGTGGGTAATTGCTTACGAAGATGAGGAAACCAGTAGTGTTTTTAAGTCCAATCCGTTATGGATGCATTATAGTCAATGTCATGCACCGACATTTTAGATAACAAGTCAAAACCTTTTATATTCATTATAAAAACTAGACAAATCGTACATCATTAGGATGGAACCTATTTGTATCAATTCCAATTGATTTAAATGGAATTTTTGATCCAAAAAATTTTATAACTTAGTAGTGTAATATTACGTGCAACACATAACATCAAATCAAATTACTATAAATTCTTTACACTATATAAATATTTTTTAATTTAATATACCGTAAAAGTCGGACACGTATACCCCCCCATGGCGTGTACCCTCTACTAGTTTTAAGAGCTAGACGGTGACTTATACCCGGGTACATAAACATTATACATGTATATGTATCATCCCAGATAGACATAGTAAAACATATTGTCTCAATACGGCGTACCCCCCGTATAGAGGTACCCCGGGTACAGATTTGAGAAATGAAAATACCCGGGGTACACGTGTCCGACTTTTACGGTATATATGAATTTCACTTTTGTACTACTGGTAGTACAATTAAAAAATAGTTTAAAAATCTTAAAAAGTATATATATACCTAAAAAATTTTTATATACAAAAATTTAATAAATGTATAAGTATAGTAGTACAATTTTTTATATACTAGTATCCTACACGTGCTTTGCTACGTGAATCGATCTACATATTGGTGTAATATTAACAGGTGTTTTATAAAGCAGACAGACAGACAAACACTTTTAATAATATAAATTAACAAGATTATTTAAAAAATTTTTTAAATTGATAAATTTTGTAAATTTAGTATACGTATTATTAGTAGTATACTATTAAAGCTAATTTAGAAATAAAATTGTTAATAAATTTTGTAAATTAAAAAATTTATTATAATTAAAAACTTATTATTAGTTAGAATATAACATTACTATTTCTATTATATGGCTTTTTAAATTTGTTGTAAATTATTACTATTAATAATAAGTTAGCTCATTGAAATTTTTATTAATTAAATTTTTTAAATTCTTAAAAGTTATAAAAATTTATTTTTTTAATTTATTTATTAAAAGTTTGTTAATATCACTGTAGCTTATTTTTAAGTTATATTTTTTAAATTTAAAAAAATAAATATAAATTTAACTCTAATATTTATATATATAATATTAATAAAACGGTTAAACTTAAATTACTATTTATATATTAATTCAATTTAATAAAATTTTATAATTGAAATTAGAAAACTTATATTTAAACCTTTTATTAATAGTTAAATAAATTTATATAATAAAAATTTTATTAATAGTTTAAATAAATTTATATAATAAAAATTTTATAAATAAAAATAATTTATACGCTAACTAGTAAATACTACTGTATATAAAATTAGTTTAATTTGAATTTTTAAATCATTTTTATAAACTTCTAAAATTTTTAAAACACTTGATATATAATTGTTTAGATTTTTAAGATACTTTAAAAACTATTTAAATAGATAATTAATTTTTAAAAAGTATCACTTGGTAGTATAATGTACTACCGGTAATATAGTGAAATCATATTCATTAATTGTAATAAAAATGAAATTAGTAAAATTCGAATAGCTTATAGATTATTGTAAAGATTTGATGTTTTTATGCCTATCTAAATTATTATAAGTAAAAAAGAATTAAAAGATAAATATATATTATAAATTTGACTAGCCTACTTCAACTAGATTAATAAATATTTTTTATACTTGCCGTGCCTCAGATACATCCCGTAATTTAGGCCAATTATAATTATTTAACAACCCTACCTATAGGGATTAAAATTGCTCCATAATTCCGGGTAGAATTATGTTGGTCGTGGGCTGGAATTATCTTAATGCCGGCCAAGTTAAACGGTTAAACGGTTCCAATCCCTACCCCCCTAGCATCACCACCCTAAAAAATTTCGCTACGATTTCGCCAGCCAAACAGAATTCAAGATCCGGTGTAACACGAAAAAACGCAAAAAATCAAAACAAACCAAAAAATCGTTCATAACTCAACATTTTACCTATGAAACTACTTTCTGCGCATTAACAAAAAGTTTTCCTTGCGAAATTTTGGTAGTAGAAAAACTTTCTTTAACCTAACTTAATAGCAAAACCTAACTTTAATTTAACTGCGAAATTTTTTTTAGCGAAATTTTAGATTAATTAATATTCTTTATACACACTCCCTAAATTAACATGAACAAAATGAAATTAATACTTATCGACTAAACTTCTTAAATCAATAGAATATAATAAAATTAAATAATACAGGAACGAAAAGTTACATAAATAACTCGATGGTTATTGGGTTTCTCTTGTCGCGGGTGAATTTAACGATTACGATAATATTAACTAATACAAGGGAAAATGGGATAAAGCAATACTGGAAATCGTCATTTCTCGTTTTTTATTGGTAGTTTCTGACAAATATTGCATGGACGTGGGTTCTCGCTACGTTTCGGACAATAGAGATCCTTATGTGCTCCTTTCTCGTACGTAGGAGTGCAATTAAAACTGGGTCTCTATTGATCTGCAAAAAATCACATGCTGATTTGACCAGTGATGTACGTTTTGACTGTCCAAAGGCTTTTTTTAGCACTGTCCAATGTCTAAGTGTCCAAGTGTCCACAAGTATCCAGAGCATGTCTAAGCTTTAATAATTAATAAATTTGTTTAAAAAATATATAATTATATATTTTTTTTAGGTGCTGAACATATTTTATTAGAAAATAATATAGGTTATCTTAATAAAATTTTGAGTAATTTTAATTTATTTAATTGTTCAAAATTGTCCAAAGTGTCCAAACTTACTGTCCACAACTGTCCCGTGACAACACTGGATTTGATAATAAAAATTGTACCCCAAATAACATATCAATTCGATTGAGAACCAATCTTAAAACCAATAAAGTTTTATAGTTAGAATAGAAATTAGTAAATGGTAATAGAAATCGAATGCATTAAAATCCTTAAATTTTTTTTATTAGTTATTAAACAATTAAAAATTCAAGTTTACGAAGTTTACTTCCAGCCCTATGAAACGCCGCCGTTTAATTACTAATAAAATAAGACTGGTGGCTCAAAATTCAGGTTGTACAGCATACTTCACATCCATTGTGTGAATTTGTGTTCTTTACTCGGATCGTATGGAGTATGCTACACTACAATTTTGAAGTATCATTACTAAAGCCCAATTATTTTAACGTACAAGTCTGTACACTAAAATATAAAGTTTTAAGATAAAAAAAAAATAAATATGCACACGTTTTTTTCAGCTTAATAACTGAGAATGACACAAGAACAATTACCATTATTAAATGTTAGTTGATTAATTCCCTTTATTAGTTACGTACGTACCTATCAGTTGATAATTGGTTTCACTAATTTTGTTAATTGAGCACAGCTCGATATTACTTAAAATGTTGAAACAATTTAAATATAAAATAATATAAAATTGTAATACTGTACGTACAGTACGCAAGAGAAAATAATTGTCACAGGTCATAATGAAATCGGATTAAATGAAATTTGGGGGTTTCTATTTAATCTCTTTATACTTGTTTACGATAAATTCTACCCCTAAAGCTTACCCTAATCCCAAAAAGGCCAAAAAAATGCACCACAACATTTGTATTTTTCGATGGCTTGTCTCTCTTATTTTCATTCTAATCTGATTTCATTTTAATCTGCCATAATAATTACCGTATACTACCGTAAATATGCACCATCCCGTCTATCACATTTTTTTATCGCTGTTTTCGAAATGGATGAAAATGACATAATTTTGTTTTTTAGAGAGCACATGAACACATATGAGCATATATAATTGTTCACCGTAAATCGGGCATCGATTTTTACGTTCTCAAAAAGTAATTTAAAGTGTATAAATAAGTTACCCGGGCAATTGATTTACACCAGCCAATCATACGAAAGTCTTTCTATGTATTGGAACCGCCTAAAATTTTTCTTAATCGTTTAACCGTTTAACCGTTTAATTTGGCCGGCATTAAGATAATTCCAGCCCACGACCAACATAATTCTGCCCGGAATTATGGAGCAATTTTTAAACGGTTAAACGGTTCCAATCCCTAACCACAAGATTGGTGAAACATGTAAAACAAACCAATCTTTTCTTTACAAAAAACAAAACTTCAAATTTTAGATTAGAGCAAGGTTAGAGTTTGGCAAGGCATAACCTATATCAATATTTTACAAGGAATTTTTTATTATTTTGTTATATAAAGGATGATCAAGATGTTACATTTGATTTTAAATTTTAATTGGTTACAATACTCTAGCATTATGATGCTATTATTATCTAATTTTTCTTTGAGATGTCTTGGTGTAGTTCGTAATACCCGTCTTCATAAGTAATTAACCGTATCGCAGAATTAAAAAAATCCATATATACTATTACAATGGACTTATTTTCTCAAACCACTACAACATATATATATAATAAACCTAAGGATAATAAATTGTTTAGAATCGATTGTTTGAAATCTAAATTAAGTTATAATGGCTAAATTTGTTATGAAGAAAAATGTTTGAATATAAATGAATGCAGCAAAAGTTCTATAAAACTGGTTTATTTGGATCATATCCAAGAAAACGTAGGGTAGAATTCATTAAAGGATAAGTTTCACCTATCCCCCCATCGGGCGAAACATCTGACAGATCATTCACACCTTTAAACTGTACGACGATATACGGATGAATTGAATAGCTAATAATTTCTTTTGCCATAATAAGAGCAGGTAAAGCTATATCAATATGATCTTTTGGGTTATCTATATTAAGTTTTTCTATTAACTTCTTGGCACCTTTAGCTGAAACGGCATAAGCGTGTGTACATTGTGGATGTCCCGTTGTATGGAGTACATGAACGGTTAAATTGGTTTTGAAATAATTGCTGTCCCACTCATTACAATGACCAAGGTACAACATATCCCAATCATTAGGTAAATTATGATGAACTTCGGTCATAATATCGGTAATGTTAAGTTCCATATCCACGTCATCTTCAAGAATTAAAGCATTTTCATATCCATTCTTAACAATTGATTCAAAGATTCTATAGTGACTTAGATAGCAAGCCTTAGCACCTACGGTTAAATTACTTTTACTAAGTCTACTAAGCGCTGCACGATCAAATCTGCTAACGGCCTTAAAAAAATCTAAATCTAAACCAAGATAATTTCCTAAAACTTCCATTTTTTCATGTCTATCTATTCTATACTCAAGATTAACAACATATATATGACTAAAGCCAAGGGTAGTACGCTTTGAACGACTTAATTCCTTGAAATTAAAGTTAACAATAGGATAAAATGAATCTTGGAAAAGGAATGTTCCACTATAAATCATCAATATAAGGAATATAATGACAGCATACGGCCATAGGTTTCTTTTCAAGAAGGGTGCCATTGAAAAATTAATATAAAATGTCATTGTAGCAGTAAAATGTGGTTTTGTTACTCTTAGGTACATTTATATAATGGTATTGCTTTAATATATTTGCACATCATAATCGTATGTAATATCTATCTATTCCCTAACACAAAGTTAATGACCCTATCATACTGATATATATAAGGTAAGATAGCTTATGCATAACGTATAAATCCGAAATAACGCTCGTGGGCATTATTTGAAAACAGGATCTGCATACGTATCAGTTTTAAAAAGGTAAAGGGAAATTGCATATAAGGGCCCGAAAAATGAAAATAATTACGAATAAGGGCCCGAAGTGAAAATAATTACATATAAGGGCCCAATTTTGAAAGATTTTACAACTAAAGGCCAAATAATTTTGTATTATGATGATAATGGTTCTTTGAACGTTATCACTGTATATAAGGTAAAGTAGGGTATTCTGGCGCGGGAGGTAATGTGGCGCACTGGAGTTTTTTTAAAATATCTCAAGATA